ACTAAGTAGTAAAACTAGGAAGATATTTAATGTAAACAAGACAGGAACAAAATAAAAACGTTTGATATGAGCTTGGTCGTGGTTCCAGGCTCATCCAGCAAAGCTGAATGGTTGCCTCTGGTTTTTGCAATTTTCAATTGCTAGGGGAATTTTATGAGTTTGGACTTTTGCATGACAGATTGATTTGGGGTGTTACCACCCACAGGGCAACTCCAGTTTCTCTATAAACTTCTTCATCTTAAAAAAAAAAATCACTTCTAGTAGTAAATGGTATTTTGAAGTCCATTGTCTGCTAAAAAGCAAAAGAAAACCCATTTTTTGATGCAAGTTTCACTTTGGCAGACATACAGATGAGGAAGTAGAAACAGAAGCAGAGAAATACAGGCTGTCAGTGTGAGTGTAGCTTTCTAACTGGTCAAGTGATATGCAAAGCAGCCAAACAGAACCTGGTGACTAAAACAAAGTGGGAAGATTAAACCATCGCAGAAATATTCAGGAATAAATACTGAATCTGTTTCTTATCACGTGACATAAGGTTGCTTTGAGTGTTAGATTTCATAATAGTTTACCTTAGTTGCTAAGGGGTTGCAAACATACCGGGTTGGATGTCAGAGTCTGTGGCGGTCTGTGCACTGGTAGCTGGTTGAAAGCAAAAGACTGACCTTTATCCTGGAAAAATATGCTCTTCTCCCTCCTCACTCTTCCCGGAGTCTAAATGATTCCACGTCATGACCTACATTGAGTAGACCTTGATATGTACAAATGGCCTATTCAGAGTTTGAAGAGGTAACTGTAATAGGTCCCAGAAAAAATTTTGTATTAGTATGCTCCATTGCCACAGCTAACCCCTGGCTTATCTAGAGATTGCTTACATCTGCTTCAGTGCATCTGACTGCTTCAGGTTCAAAATGTCCATGGGGCATGGAGGCAGAGTAACAAGCCATCAGTGCGTGTGATAAAAAAGATAGTCCCCATCCTCTGCGTGTTAGTATTTTGGAGTGACAGGGCCAGGAGGGAGCACATAAGAGCAGGCTGGGAAAGAGAAGATTATTATTAACATACCCAGTATCATTGCTAGCATCTCTTGAATTTTTGTGGGCTAGTGGGAGTTAATACAGTCCCCTTCTGCATTCTGATGAGCTGTAACTTTGAGATAAAGAGCTGTTATATTATTCTAAGAATGTGGCCCAGGCAATAAATATGGTCTTGAGTTCACATTTGGACAAAATTTTATTCTGTCTACATTGAAGTGAGATTACAAAGGCCTTTTCCTCGACATCATGTAGTCAGAGCCTGGCTATCAGCTCTTCTCTAAACAAAACTGTCTGGTTTGAATAAGTGTCTAATTGGTCCCTCCTTTGCCCTATACACCTGGAAGGATACTTTGTTAGTGTCTATTTAGATGCAAAGTTGTAGGGTAAAGAATGTTTCTTGAGCTATCTTGTATCTATAAGAGATTTTATATCATTCTCTTGTAACCCTGTAACTCCTCTATGAGAAAAGTATTACTGCCAAACCCACCCCGTGACATAGATAAGAACTTACTGTTCAGAGAAGAAAATAAGATAACGTATTTGTCCAATAACCAGGGAAGATTCATTAGTTTGGATTGTAGTCTGGTGGGTTGGTTTGGGGCTTTTATCACCCAGAAAGTAACTCTAGAGTTTAGCTGTAAACTTTTATCTTTTAAAAAAATGTATATAAGTAGTGGTTCTAGAGTTCATACCCAGTCTACTGGAACATATTCCTTCCACGGCCCTCTAAGAAATGCTAGGCCACTGTGAGGTTGCGGACTTTAGGGTATGATTTGTGTGTGTGTGTTTTAACTTTTATTTTAAGTTCAGGGATACAAGTACAGGTTTGTTATACAGGTAAACTTGTGTCATGGGGGTTTGTTGTACAGATTATTTTATCACACAATATGATTTTGTGGATTTTTTTTTAACTTTTATGTTCCTGTATGGCTCAAGCAATTAGAATTTTCTATAGGTATACAAAAATCCATGCATTTTAAAAAATCAAGAGCTCATTTTCCAATGTTAAACGTAGTCTCTTAACTTCTTATTAAATATGGGAGATATTCAGAATTCTATAATCCATGCTATTAAGGATTGAGTTTCTCTAGAATGACAGTAGGTGGCATTTATATTTCTTTGCTTGTTTTGCTGTTACTGCTTTCATTGAGGTTATGACATGTATGACTTTTTCAAGGATGAATTTCAAAAACTCAGTGTAATCATACATAGTCCATGGTCCTGTAACAAATGCTAGACCACTGTAAGGTTGTGGACTTTAGGGTATGATTTTGTGGATTTTTTAACTTGTATTTTAAGTTCAGGGATACAAGTGCAGGTTTGTTATATAGGTAAACTTGTGTCATAGGGGTTTGTCGTACAGATTACTTTTATCACCCATGTATTAAGCCTAGTACCCGTTATGATTTTTCCTGATCCTCTCCCTCCTCACACCCTCCACCCTCCAAAAGGCCCCAGTGTGTGTTGTTCCCCTCTATGTCTCCATGTGTTTTCATCATTTAGCTCCCACTTATAAGTGAGAACGAGCGGTATTTGGTTTTCTATTCTTGTGTTAGTTTGCTAAGGATTTTGTTAGATGCCTTTCCTGTATTAAACTCACATTAAAAATTTTCAGAAGCTGTTTTAAGAAAGTACATAATCAAGATCAGCATTTTGGTATAATTTGAAAGTATAGCATCTAATGAAGAGCTTGCTACACTAACCATGGTACTATTTGATTCTAATGTCTGTGTTTATTACATCTTTCATTGAGTTGGCTTGCCAAAAGGATAGATTGCGGTAATTTATTTAACGAGGAAGCTAGCATTCCAGAGTCCTCTTCATGTCTAATATCTAGCAGGATTAAATTTACTATATATCGCAGAAGTTATTCCAAATAAGAGAAGACTATTATCATTTATATTTTTGGTAGCAGAGAAAACTTACAGGATGTTTATTACAAAAATATTTTTATACTATTTGGACTAGTACTATACATGTTAGCAAGACTAACAGATTAAGGCACATTTAAAAAATCCAACTAGTCAGTATAGGTGTTCCCATCATTTTATGGCTGTTTCAACGCTGGATTTGTTTGTCTATTTTTAGGCTAAATTGATGTGAAAGAGTCTGACTGGAACAAAACTGATGGTTTTCTTTGAATGGCGTTGGAACATGTATGGGTGTGGTTTGTACTTTGCCACATTCTTTTCTTACCTTTATGTCCTCTCTCTGCAGTGCATTTTCTATGTAGATTGTTGCAGCAATACTAGCTTGAAAATAAGCAGGAATTCAAAAAAGATTAACCAACACTAGAGAAGCTTAGGAATGTTTACAATAACAGGTTGCTTAAAAGTAGATGGCAAAGCTTAGGGAGATTTATGAGCTGTAAAGATACATATTCCTGTTTCATTGGGATGATCTTAATTGTAGTAAATCATGTAAACTTTGTAGTAAATCTTGTTAAAGGGTTTTGCAGGCTTACAATGGTCTCTTATGCAAGGACAGCCTTAGTGGTAGATGAATTGGACAGTAAATTCAGCAATGTGCATGATATGATTTTATATCCAAAGACAGTCTCTTAACTTGTGCCTCACATCCTGCTCATGGTTTGGACAGTTCTTTACCTCAAGCTTTTGCCATCTGTTAAGGGAAACCTTCTGCTCTAGGAAAAGGCAACACTAATGCTGATTCAGTTATTTACCCTTGAGGGTGAATTTTTTTTTTGTTTTTTGTTTTTTGCTGTTGTTCCTTCATTAAAAAGGACACAATTAGTTTGATCTTGAGGACTGCCAGATGAAATCTAACTAGTATGATACATTTTAGCAAGAATAACAGATTAAAACGTATTTTAAAAATCCAACTAATCAGGATTAGAATATTCAGCGATGTAAATAGAGTGAACAGATCTATTAACGAGGGTTGTAGATATGACAAAGGGAGAATCTGTTTACAGTCTTAAGATGTGGTTTCTCCGTGGCCTCAGTATCCCAAGTTATTTGGGGAAAATTCTATTTTGAGCTCAGGACATGAAAAACGGAACCAGATCAAAGGTTTTTGTTTCTGTTTGTAAAGAAGGAAATACTGCTGTTTCTGCTTCCATACCATAATCAAAAAGAAAAAGCCAAAGCAGTGATGTTAGCTTTGGTTTTTTTCAGAATCTTAACCTCTAGGTTGTAGAAAGCAAAGCCTTCCAGAAAGATCCCTCTGTCCGTAAGTATCAGAGCAGTCAATTTCAGTGGGATAAGGGCAAGCAATGAGCACCAGGGGAGAATTTCAGAATGCAGTGTCCAGGACCATATCCCCAGTGCATATATCTTGGAGTGAGGAGATCTTACATATTTCTTAAAAGCAATTGACTTATTTTGATATGATGCTATCATTGAGAACCTTCTGGAAGTGTTCTTTCGAGGGATTGTTAAAAAAAAATCCAGCCCTTATGACATGCTTGTGATTTATTATATTTGGTAGTTGGAATTATGTAATGATGTGAAGATGCAACCACTAGCATTATTCAAGCACTGGTGTGTAGTAGTGATGTTCTGGAATGTTGCACTCCCACTCTATTTCACTATATATACTTACCTTCTGGGTTAAACTTATTGCTAAAATAACACTTGGCCCACTAGTACCTTCTAAAGAAGGTCTGTGTGGCATTAAGTGTTAGTGTTTTGCCAGACTGGTTTGGTCGCCTTCCTTACGTATATTTATTTATAATCTAAAAAGGAAAATAAGCTCCACCAGCTTGGTTGTTTGTATTTTTATTTTAAGAAATTGGGTTCGGTTTAAAAAATAACCTTACTCATTTACATTTGCAGGTTAGGATAACAGGAATCGTTGACTGTAATTAAGGACAATTTCAACAAATGCCTTTTAATGTGCCTTTAGCAGAGAAGCTGAAACAATTTTAGAAAATGGTATGTTATTTGCTTTATCTCCTACTGTTAGGCTTACCAATAGTTATTCTTTTTTTTTTTCTCCCCTCAGATGTACATCCAGACAACAACACTTACTGTCTCCATGAGTTTAAGTGCTTCAGTGTCTCTGGGCATGCTCTATATGCCCAAGGTTTATATTATAATTTTTCATCCAGAACAGAATGTTCAAAAACGCAAAAGGAGCTTCAAGGCTGTGGTGACAGCTGCCACCATGCAAAGCAAACTGATCCAAAAAGGAAATGACAGACCAAATGGCGAGGTGAAAAGTGAACTCTGTGAGAGTCTTGAAACCAACAGTAAGTCATCTGTAGACTTTCCGATGGTCAAGAGCGGGAGCACTTCCTAATAGATGTACGTTGAACATTCTTCTCCTAGTCTTGGGGATTGTGCTACATGTTTCCAGGGGCATGGTGGTACCCACATACCGTTACACCATCACATTTAGAACCATTTGGTGAAAAGCAAATGGTCTCAAGATGAGAGGCTGTTCTACAGAGTACAAACTTGCTCACAAAATCTCTTTTACAAAGCATGACATTTCATATCTTTCTTTTGAAGCATTATGAAACTTGATATTTGAAAGCATCATCTTTTTATAAAAGTTGTATTTTAGTACTTAGAAACAATTCCACAATTTTTCTTGTTCAATATTGGGTGCTTTTTATAGTATCAATAGTTTACTGATATTTATGGAATATGCTACTACAGATCTTACACAAATAAATGATGTTATTTGTGCCTTTAGGGAAATGAGAACTCTAGTTAGCCAATACATTTAGTTAAGTCACAGTCAATACTTGTTCGTCCCACGTGGTCCCCTTTCCTTGGGCTTCCTGAGGGCTTCCCTTGACTTCACTTCTTGGATTTATTAAGATAATTAAAGTTCTTCTTAAAAGGCTCATGATCCTGGAAATAGAATATTTTCTACAGCCACCTTTCCATTTTTTTATTTTCTTTACCTATTTTCTTCTCTACAGTCCACCCAGGAAGGAGCACATGATAACAATACACAGAAATCTGTGCTCAACCAGTAGAATTTAACTGATCTATTGAAGCCCATTTTGGTATCTATGAAAGAGTGGCAAATATAGATTGAAGATTTGTATGGTAAAATACCAGAAAGCTGAATATGGTAAACATTACAACTTTACCTTACTAGGTTCTACAGATGAATCAAAAAAGAAAGAAAAGCAAAGGTACTTGTGTTAGAGTGGCTTCCAGTCTTTTGGAATATAGCATAGGTATTCAATATTTGTTTTTTCTGTTTGAAACAGGAGCTTGCTCTGTTGCCCAGGCTGGAGTGCAGTGGTATGATCTAGGCTAACTGCAGCCTCTACCTCCTGGGCTCAAGTGATCCTCCCACCTCAGCCTTCCAAATAGCTAGGACTGCAGTCATGTGCCACCATGCCCAGCTAATTTTGTTTGTTTGTTTGTTTGTTTGTTTGTTTTGTAGAGGCAGGGTCTCACTATGTTGCCTAGGCTGGTCTCTAACTCCTAGGCTCAAGTGATCCTCCCACCTAAGTCTCCAAAAGTGCTAGGATTACAGGTGTGAGTTACCACACCTGCCCAGGCATTCAGTAATTAAGGACAAAATCCTATGCAAAAATATTCTCTTCCTCTCATATTCATCCAGCAGTCTGTATCCCCTATTCTCTATACTTTTGACACTAAATACAAGAAAAAACTAAAAAATAATTTTATTTGGTTTAATTATTGTAGCAACTTACGGTCTACATTCCATCTACAAACCTTCTTTTCCATCAAGATTTCTGGATGAACATTGTCTACTCTAATTTACCATACACAGAACTATCCCGTGATAGTTAATTAGCATTGCTTAATTAGACATATTGGTTTCAGTTACTGTCAGCTTACCTGGAATCATTAGCCAGATTGGTTCTAAAAAGATTACCTTCAGGTCACCAATACCAAATTTAGTCACATGTAGAGAAATGAACTTTACAAGAATTTCACAAACGCCCCCCACATATTCACCTTTCTGCAAACATGAAACCTTGTGAAGTAAGAAATATGAGAAGCAAGGTAAGGATGGGCTTTAGTAACAAATCATTACAATCATCTCTGAGTATAGGTAAGCAGTTTACTAATGATAAACCTATTTCATAATTGCCATTAAAGGCATCAAAGTACAATGCTTGCGATTTGAGGACAGAATTTTATCTTTATTCCTACCTTGAGAACATCAGTGTAGGAAGTTGAAACCTATTATAGGATGCCAATAAACTGCTGTTGGCCAGTGATATAATTTGAACACTGGCATGTCTCAGTATGACTCACCAGAGTCTATTGTTATACCTGTTTTTCTCTATCTCTGTTTTTTTTTTTTTTTTTTTTAGCAACAATCCAGAAAACTTTATAAAATATGGTTGCCAAATAAAAGAACCAAACTTAGAGTAATATAAATACCAGTCATCCAGACTCACCTTTGGAAAGTGGTGGAGAAAAAATTTAATAAACTTTTTCAACACTTTAAAGAATAAATAGATGCCCTGAAAAACAAAATTCTCAGTATTGATAGGAACTAATCTCATATTGTTGAAGTAAATCTCATACATACACTGTTTTCCTTTGGTTATTTCCTGTTAATGTTGAGTTGAAATGGAAATTATATAGCATGCATGTATTTCTCTATTTTCTCTAAAATAAGAATGAAAGACTGCAAAAACAAGGCCTATTTGGTGGGTAAGCCTATAATATTCTGGAGGAGTCAGATGCTCACTTTTAGAAGGTCAGGTAAAGTCAAAAAGTGAATCAAGATAATATCAATTACTGCCTAAAAAAAAAGGTTTAATTGTACTTTGGAGATTTTAGTGCATTGATCTTTTACAGGAGTATAATTTGGTTTGAATAAGTTGGGCCCAAGTAAAGTGATTATGGTGTACTCATACAGGAGAGAAAGATGTATGACATCTTTACACATCCTTCCACAATCCTACTCCAGGTCACCATTTTTAACCTTTGTTCACTTACATGGCCATTCTACAATGAAAGGGTAAATTTGTGTCCAAGATTTTAAAGTTCCTAAAGTTACACAGAATAAATGTAAGTAATATGAAGCTGGATGGGAAACCAATGAATGCCGTGTTAGTTGCTGAATTTGCAGACTATAGTTTACATTTTTAAAAAAGGTCAAGTGTTATTTCACAACAGAGTGTGATGGGAGTTAGAAACAAAGTTGATATATATGAATTTTGCCAACTGTACCCAATTAACAAATGCTGTACATAGTATTCTTTAAGCTATGTTCATGAATAATTCATGAAAACAGCTGCTGCTGGAGGTAGATTTGTTTTCTCTAGCTTATGAACACAGTGTGGTGCACACAAGGAAATTAATTTACTGTTGCTGTGCTCAAAAACTGATTTTCATATGAGCATATTCATCACCACTGTGAAAAAAATCTCCCTATGAACTCATCTGTACATCTCTGATTCATTTTGCTCTATAGTACTTCTGGGATAAAGATTCTTGCGAGATATCTGCCACCCACAAAGTTTGTCCCTTATCATTGCTTTCATGTTGACTAAATCATCTGTTTCCAGAGCCTTACACTTCCTTTTCTAACCAGTAGAAAAATTAGCATTACTCTCCTTTTGTGAATTCTATTCTCAATTCTCAATAGAATCCTACCACTTTCTTTCTAGAAACAATGTTTAAGAGTTCAAAAAATAATATATAAATTTTTAATTAGCTACAGATCCCCAAAGTTGGAAAGATCCTTAAAACTGGTCTGATCCAAACTGCCATCTGTCGAATGGACATCTTCTGAAAACTATATTGTTCAATATCTATCAGCTCTTGTTACTCTATTTCAACCATAATTCTTTTTCTAGCTATATACAAATTTTATAACCATTTCCCACATTTTAGTTATTGTTGAAAATATTGAACAGTGCAGGAAGTTGGATGACCCTTTTAACAGTCATTTTTATCACTCTTATGACAATTTTTCTCCACCTTGTCTGTGAAGACTAAAGTCCTTCAAAAACAGAACCAAAGAACAGATTTTATTTTCTTAGAGGAAATTTAGAGGCATATGAGAGCATTATATAAATTAAAAATGAAAAGTAAAAGTGAGTGATCATAGAAAATCATTGTGTTTCACTTCACACCAAACCAAATGTAACAAATGTTTTACCTTTGGAAAGGTTAAGTAGAAAGTACAACTCCATTAGGTCTCATGTATGGTTCATGGAAAGAAAAGGAAGGAAGGAAGGAAGGAAGGAAGGAAGGAAGGAAGGAAGGAAGGAAGGAAGGAAGGAAGGAAGGAAGGAAAGAAAGAAGGGAGGGAGGGAGGGAGGGCGGGAGGGAGGCTGGCTCTGTATTGATTCTTTCCAGATTACAGCTGTTCCATCCCAGTCTATTCTGCTTTCATCCTTACAGGAACTCAGTATTGTAGGTTTTGAACCAGTGATAAAACTGAGGCCCGGTAACCTGGCCCAATGACTTTTTTCCCACTCATTTTGCAGGGACTAGAATGTAGTTCAAAACCAGGTCTAAAGTCTACTTCCTTTGCACTGTGCCACAGTAATAACTTAGAAGGGTAAGCAATGTGGATAAGATAAGCAAATATGTCAACTATTTTTAGCCTGAAGCTCATAATATTCAATGAAATAAAAAATAACAGAACACATCTGTAGTAGCACTTCTTAGGGCTATCTGAGTTAATTTTAGTGGTTGTGAATTTTGTATGAACTTGGTCTCTGGTAAGAACTTGTCTAGTCCATCAATAGTGTCACTACAATGGAATGAGTCTGATTGTCAGTTATTTCAGAGGAGGAACTTTACAATTTCTAGTCTTATTCGATGTTCAATAAATACATTATTTTCTAAAAATCTGTTTCATCCTGAATTGGATTCATGTATTGAAACACATACATTCTTTGCTTTTTAAAATATCTTTTATCTTACCGTTATTCATTCCAGAATTACACAAAAAAATAGGACATCACATTTGAATTTTAGGACAGAGATTCATTGCATCACATCTTTCAAAAATACAAAGGAATTATTTGAATTTAGATTTATATTCTCCAGAATCTTAGGCATGAGTATATTTTGGCATAATATCTCTGTAATGGTCTTACAATAATGAGTTTTACTTTATAGTATGTTGGTAACAGAACGATTAAACATTTCTTTTCAGAGTCTTTATTTTCTTAAATATCTTCATTTGTCTCCATTTGATGAAACCAAAAGAAACCATAAATATGCAATGGCAATTCACATATTTACCATTCTATATATTTGATATTTTAGCATGTTTACCTCTAGAGTCTAAGATTATTGTGTATTTTTAAGTGGAAGATGTATTCATTCTCATAGGACAGCTAATTATAATTACTTAACTTTTTTGGTCATTACATCAGCCTCTAAGAATTGAGGTCTTTGACATAGGTAGTAAAAAATATTTTTTGTATTTTGTAGGACAGATAATTGGTCTGTTCTTTCATTTTACATATACGCAAATGCAAAATTTTACCAAAACATTAAAGATTAGCACTTTTATATTTTTAGTTTTCTAGTAAATATCTATATACTATAAATGAGGCTACTGACTTTGACATATTAAAATTGCTGCAGCATTTTTATTTCTGCTGTTATTTAGTTTTTACTACAGTCACGCATTGCTTAATGACATGTTCTAGGAAATGTGTTGTTACGCAGTTTTGTCTTTGTGCAAACATCATTCAGTGTACTTACACAAACCAAATGGTATAGCCTACGACATACCCAGGCGATATGGTATAGCCTAGTCTACCTAGGCTACAAACCTGTACAGCATGTTACTGTCCTGAATTGTGTACACAATTGTAATGCAATGGATATTTGTATATCTAAACGTATCTAAACATAGTAAAGACACAGTAAAAATAGAGTATACAAGATAAAAATGGTATACGTGTAAATAGGGCACTCACTATGAATGGAACTTGTAGGACTGGAAGTTGCCCTGGGTCATTAAGTGAATGAGGGGTGATTGAATGTGAAGGCCTAGGACATGGCAGTACTGTAAATTGCAACCTTTGCCTCTCGGTTCAAGCAATTCTCCTGCCTCAGCCTCCTGAGTAGCTGGGATTCAGGCATGTGCCACCACACCCGGCTAATTTTTGTATTTTTAGTAGAGACGGGATTTCACCATGCTGGTCAAGCTTGTCTCGAACTCCTGACCTCATGATCCACCCGCCTAGGCCTCCCAAAGTGCTGGGATTACAGGCGTGAGCCTCCGCACCCGGCCACTGTAGATATTATAAAAACTCTATACTTAGACTACACTAAATTTATTTTAAACATTTCCTTTTTCAATAATATACTATTTTAGCCTTCTATAACTTTTTAGTTTATAAACTTTTTATTCTTTTTACATTTTGACTTGTTTGTTATAAAAACTTAAAACACAAACACATTGTCCAGCTATAAAAAATATTTTCTTTATACCCTTACTCAAGGATAAAATTTTTTCTATTTTTATGTATTCATTTTACTTTTTAAACGTTTTGTGTTAAAAATTAAGACACACACACACACACACACGCTAGCCTAGGCCTCCACAGTGTCAGGATTATCGATATCACTTCCACCTCTACATCTGATTCCACTGGAAGGGCTTCAGGGGCAATAACAAGCATTGAGCTGTCATCTCTTGGAATAGCAATGCCTTATTCGAGAATACCCCTGAAGGACCTGCCTAAGGCTGTTTTACAGTTATCTTTTTAATGTATAAGTAGAAGAAGTGCACTTTAAAATAATGATAAAAAGTATAGTGTAGTAAATACTTCAACCAGTAACATAGTCTTTCGTTATCATTATCAAGTATTATGTACTGTATATAATTGTATGTGCCATGCTTTTTCATGACTGGCAGGATAGGAAATTTGTTTACACAACAAACCACAAACATGTGAATTATGCGTTGTGTTAAGTGTTGTGTTATGTGTTCACTGGGTGATAGGAATTTTTCAGCTCCGTTATAATCTTATGGGACCACCTTTATATAATGTGGTCTGCTGTCGAGCTGAAACGTCGCCACGCTGTGCATGACTGAGAATGTTTAAAAATAATGAATAACATGCTGTAAAAGCTGGGTATTGTAAAAAAGTCATTACAGGACTTGAATTTTAAAATCATATTAACAAAATGATGTATTATTATATACTATTTTAAGTTGTCCTCATTTATCTTAACAGCTTCCTCTACCAAGACAACATATATCAGCTACAGCAATCATTCAATCTGAAACAGGGAAATGACACAATCTGAAGAGATGTGGTATATGATCTTAAACAATGAACATGAGACTGCAAAAATTCACTCCTGGAGATCTCCATAGACTACAATCAATCAAATCAATAGTCTTGTAAGGAACAAAAATTAGCCATGAGCCAAAAGTATCAATAAACGGGGAGTGAAGAAACCCGTTTAATACAATAAAACCAATGAGTGTCAAGCTAAAGTATTGCTTACTCATGAGCAGTTAAAAAACAAAATCACAAAAGGAAAACTAATGTTAGCTTGTGAAAAAAAAATGCTGTTGAAATAAATCATGTCTGATGTTATTCTTGTAAGTATTTTTCTGTGATTGTGAGAACTCCCGTTCCTGTCCCACGTTGTTCAACTTGTATAAGACAATGAGTCTCTTTCTTGTAATGGCTGACCGGATTGAAGCCCTGGGTTGTGCTAAAAATAAATGCAATGATTGATGCATGCAATTTTTTATACAAATAATTTATTTCTAATAATAAAGGAATGTTTTGCAAATGTTGAGAGTTGTTTCGTTCCAGTTTTAAAGCTAGGGAAAACTCTTCTTTCTAGTTGGCACTTCCGCTGTTTTTTAGCTCCTTCTATGAAAGCGCTGATGTTCTGAGGAAATATTTCTTTGAGGAATGTGTATTTGTACATTTGTGTGCATATGAGGAAGATTGTCTTTTATTCCTATATTAAAAGCATTATTTGTGTAAGACTTTGTGAATATTTCAAGATTTCTGTGGTAGCTTTTCATAGTAACTGCTTCTTTTATGAAGAATCAAGCAATAGTTTGAGGTAAATTGCTTTGAGTTAATTAACAAATGATGAATTAAACTTTGGAGAATGGAATATGAAAATTACCATTTGAAAGTACATCAAAACATGTCACTGAAATTCCCTATTACATTCCTAAATCAAAACTTTTGCATAATGAAATATCCTGTGGTATGTAGTATTAACCTTTTCTCACCTGGGTATAGAAATCACTGAAATCAGTGAAGTAATGGGCCTTACCTAGTACATTCTTCAAAGCAGAGAATTAGCATATTTATTCCCTTGGCACCACTAAAGAAGCCACAGTTCAGATAACATGTCAATGCTTTCTTATTTTCCAAATGAAAACATTCATTGGTTCATAGAACAGTATCATTAAAGAGAGAGGAAATAGGGAGCCTGTCTCATGCTAATAAACCATGCCAGAGTGGATAAAGGGAGGCTGATAATGGCTTTCGAATCTGTTACCATTTTTGTCATGGGCTCCTCTATGCCATACAATCCCAGACATCCATCAAGTCAATGGGTCTCCACAATCATTTTGTTAGTGAATGTTCTCTCTGCTGAGTTAGCTTGGATGGCTCATTGCACTCCTTATAGATATAAAGAGCTGTCTGTGCTCCGTAGCTTCAACCCAGTTACTGACAGTTACTTTATTTAACAGAGAAGTTTGAAGTAGTATAGTGCAGGTTCCTTCAACATACAGTGACATTTCCTAGATAGCTACAAAGATATATTGCTGCATATAGAAGCAAATGTGTATCTTTTCGCTTTTTGTTGAGTTTCTCCTAATAATAATGGTTGTTGTAGATAATATTTAAATCAAGGAGTAAGGGCATTATTTTCAAGTTTTCAGATCATCTGAATTACTGATAATGCAATCCTGTAATCAGGATCCTAAACCCACCTCTAGGTGTGCCTTTCTAGATAAGACTTAGACTAAGCAAATAAACCCATTACTGCATATTAAGTATGTTGTGTCATGTCGCTCAGTACCAATAGCCATACAAGAAGTAATTATAATTGTATTTTAATTTTTAAGTTTATAGGTTTTTTTTTTTCATTTTGGAGATGGTTTGTAGTTTATAAGATGTTTTTTACTTCATTTTAACTAAGTGTCTATATTTTTGGTTGAGAAAATTGCTTGAATTATATAAGCCTTGCATTTCGTTCAGAGAGCAAAACTCAAGTATATTTTTATTTACTAATTTCATTTACTAATTGACTCTAATCAGGTTCGGTGGATGTGACAGGGTGATTATGAGAGCTAAGCTGGCTCTCAGACCAAATGTGGGTTTTCACTATTATTGTTACTTAAAAAAATGTTAAAGTTCTAGGAAGAAAAATAAAATACCAAGCATAATTCATGACATTTCAAAATTCTTCTTCCTACTACCAACCTACCAACAGGTTTTTTTCCCTAAGTACTTTAACAAATAATTGACACTTGTTTGGGGTTATACAAAATCTTATTTAATTCACAATAAAGTTGAATAATAGCTCTTGTGGATTTACATATACCAGTCATCGCTTGTAACATTATCTCAGTGAGAAACATTCTGCTGCTGAAACTACCACATTTTACAAACCTGCACGTTATGCACATGTACCCTAGAACTTAAAGTATAATAATAATAAATAAATTAAAAAAAAAAAAAAAGAAAAAAAAGAAACTACCACATTTTTCACGCAGTGGAAGGATAAACTCCCTCAGCCTCTTACAGTAGGAGCTGGGGAATTCTTCCTTCCACTGTGTTTATTTTCTCAGGGATTTTGCTGAGGGCTTGAGAGGTAGTCATGTAGGTGTAGGACAATGGCGGCGAGGTATCCTGCAGGAGGGATTTAGTATGTGCCAGTAGTGGATCATAAGTCCCATGCTTTAAAATGAACTGTCTGTGTACTATAGATAAGCAAATGCAAAGTTGCATGGAAAAAATGCACTATTATATTCTTTAGAATTGACCTTGTGTTTTATTCTGGCCAAGAAATGTCACATCTAATCTCAACATGCCAGAGGGAATGCTAAAAATGTAGCCCGAGGTAATATTCAGCAAATGTCACTAGTAGACAATGAGAGATATATTAGTGTGACCTTGGACCAAATCTGACCTCAGTTTTTAAAATATTTCTAGCTTATAATAGTTAATATTTAAAAATGTCTAAATCAATGATAGTTGATATGCCACAAACTAATCTTATTTTTAAACAAAACTACTCATAAATTTAAACATGAAGGATGACTCTTTGAACATGAACAGGAACCTAGTAACTCGATTTTTAGTGTTTATCATAAATTTTTACAGAAAATGTGGCATGTCAGATGAACAAGATTTTACTTTCTTAGAAAATTAAATACCATATTACATGAAATCTCACTAGGAACAGGAGTTTTTGTCATTTATGTTTTCTTCCTCTTTTAACACAATATATTATTTAACAATATTTCTTGAAAGTGTAGAAAGAATATTAACAATTTTCTAAACTATATTAGTCAATACTGATGTTTTATTCAGTCAGCAATTGGAAGAAATCACATTCTTAAATCCTATTATACAACCTTACCAGTTTTTCTCATTTCATTTTTGAGTTTCTGCTAATAAATTCCTTAAAAAATTGGTTGTCTTATTTTCATCCACTTTCTAGAATGAAATGGCCAGAAGTAACAATGAGACTGCATGCAAGAATGAGTGAGAATACCGAATTATAGAATACTCTTATTGTATACGATGATCTTTAGAAATGTTTCTTTTTGATTTTTTTATTATTCTCCTTTAATGAAGATGAAAATAGTGTAGAAAAATTTGACCACAGCTAGAAAAATAAAACATTTCCTTAAGAAGAAATTATTGTCTATGAATACTCAGAAAGTTGCAGACTGCCACTTGACAAGTGTCATATTACAGGGATAGTGGGAGAAAATAGCACATAATTTTATTTTTTTAAAAATCAATTTTCTATGACTATTCTATTACAGTTTTCTCTTTCAAAATTTTTTTGCATTATAATCTTTAGTGGTGGTGTTACTTTTGGGCATTTTTTTAAATTTAACCCTCCATAGGACATTCAGAATATTTTTGTTTGTTGAACTCAGTCTCTCATCACTGTGAAGTCTAATATTTTATTTTGATTTATCTATGTGTTTTAAGAGTGATAAGGATGGACATAAACAAATTTGACCTATGAAGTGTTTTTTCTAGTTGCCTACTGCTTAGGTGGTTATGGTAAATTAATTTTTACAAATAACTTGCTACAAAGTCATAAGGTAACAAGCATGGATCAAGGTCTATGAAAATCCAAGAATTAACCATGTAATAACTTGGATGGGAAGAAAGGGTGATGCGTTTATAGAAAACAGGAAAGACAAATGATAAATGTAATGTTTCAGGTTGTAAAGTAAGCATTATCAGGTTACTTGGCAATCAACTATGTCCCATTAGGTAAAATCAATAGAACATAGGTTAATTTTGAGATCTAATAAAAATATTAGTGTTAAAGCATAATTTTGTAGAAGTTAAAAGCAACTCTTATAACAAAAGTGAAATGAACAAGTCAAGGATTTTATTCAACTCATTACCTAATAAGGGAACAAATAAGATCTTGAAACTAGTCCAAAGAGTATTTTAGAAGCTAGTTTATACACACACACACACACACAGAGATATATATATGTATATATAAAATAAATCAGAGGATTAGATACAAAACTGGTTTAGTATCCTACAGTATAATAATAAACCATAACATTTCAGGTTGTATGTTCCATTGGACAGACATTATTTGCATTTCTACTAGAAAAAAACCATACTTATTAACCCCTATGCCTAAAGCAGTAAAGTAACTTTGTTGATAGACTCAAATGAAGCCCTCTACGGAAAGAACAACCATTCATATCTTTTGCCTATTGCTAAATTTTGGATAATTTCTGTGATGAGTGATAATTTATTGCTCTACTTTCCCTAACTGTAAACATTACATTGGCAACAAATGAATAATAAAGATCACAAACACACCAAAAATTACATGAAGGTAAAGCAGTAATGGAGAAGCTCTGGTATGGGGCTGTTGGAATTATTCTTTCCTATCTCAAATCTTAAGTGTATCTCCAATTCAGAACTGAATTGTATAAAATGATAAGGTGAATAACTGTGAATAAAAATGTACTTGCCTTCAGGTAACATCACTAACAATTCTACAAGTAATTTGTGAAAGTGTGACTTATTCCTTTTGTCCCCATCTGCCATCTTTAGTGAATACTTTCTCTCCTCTTTTGTAGTATATTACCCTAAAATGGGAAATCAGCTTTTCAAGAGTGTCCCTGAAGATGACAAACTATGGATAGTTTACTTATTTCCATGAGTGCCTTCTACTTGTCATTGGCTAACAACCCTGGCCCTTCCTAACAAAGCCTTCTTCAAATCCTGACCCCTGACAACTTCTAGGAAGGTGAAGCAAGAATGAAAGAAGCCATCTTAATCAAAGATGGGGAGAGGAAACAGGTATGATTAGTAGGGCTCTGCTTTTCTATAAACATCCTAGAATTTAATAACCTCTGTCTATCCCTTACTTCTGTCTGGCATCCTGAGCTCTGCAGAGCAGGGTAATGGTGAGTTTGGGACCATGGGACTCTCTATCCGTAGGGAGCCCATTTTCTGAGTAGAGTCTTAGCAGCGCTGGAGCTCAATGTTCCCTTTGAAGATCTTTACTAAACTCCTGGAAGAAGAAATGAGGCAGCACAAGGCAAAATTATAAAGTAGATGAAATGTGGCTTATTGACTTTTCTGTTTTTTGGATTTTTTTCCCTCATGATGTTCTCCAATTTCTTTTTACCTCTTTCCAATCTCACCCAGGTGACCAATATCCTCAGAGTACATTCTAGGTACTCAGTGATCCCTTTCCCACTTTCCGTCTTCTGACTCACTATTACTTTCCTCTGTTCCAA